ATTGAGGATGATGCTTATTGAATGATACATTGTTTTAAATCGGATTTTGATGAGGTCGAGTACAAACGAAATGTGTAGATCGTTATGAATACTATGATTTCAAACATAAAAAGGAACGTGTGTGTGTGTTTGAGTGGTGTTTAGTGACCGATAGTCATTGATTATTCGGAGATCTTGAATTAGAGATGTCAACACGACACACAAGAATGACACACTTACCCAGAAAACAACACTTTGAGCCCTGAAGATGATCTCAATAAAGATCGAAACGTTGACACGATAAAGCAAATTTTTTCTGGAACCTACATCACACCAGACTGCATCTCACCATCTCCGAATAATCATAAAAAGGAACATTTATAATGTGATGGAAAATTTTCGAGTGGATTGATGTGGGGAATTGGAATGCTGTAATGCGCACTTAAGGTGAAATTTCAGTCTCCTGCCAGTCAGATAAGATGCCAGTATGTGATAGTACGCTTGAGGGAGGGTGTTCCTTAGATTTAGAAGCAAATCTGAGTGAAAGATCTGAAGTGAAGGTCTGTTCTAAATCAAGATAAACACCCAAAGTTTTTGTTCAATGGATGAGGCGGTATTGTCAGCAACACGATGCTGCTATTGGGTTATCGAGTGAAATGAGCGCAATCCAAACAGATGATCGAGAATAATATTAGGATTTTCAATTAAGGATAAATTATAGATTATTTAGAGATCGTGAGGTGCGGTCTGGTGTGACGTAGGTTTGAGAAAAACATTTTCTTTATCGTGCTAACGTTTCGATCTTTATTGAGATCATCTTCAGGGCTCAAAGTGTTTGTTTTCTGTGAAGATGTAACAATATTGGGTGGCGTGTTGAAAATGTCTCTCTTTGACTGTGACACTCTCAACATGACTCATAAGAATGACACATCTGCACAGAAAACAAACACTTTGAGCACTGAAGATGATCTCAATAAAGATCGAAACGTTGGCATGATAAAGAAAATGTTTTTCTGAACACTACGTCACACCAGACCACCTCACGATCTCCAAATAATCATTGGCTAACTGTCACTAAACACCACACTTAAATTTTCGGAAATAAATTTTTCTAGACTTATAGCAAGGATAGGAGACAAATGGAACGATAGGAACTGGGAAGATCAGAAGGTTTATGTTAGTATGCGAAATGCGCACGATTTTTTCTTGAAGCTTTCCTATCGAATGTTTAAATCCGAGCTAGAACGGAAAACATCGGCCCGGGGTCGGTCAAAAACTATTTAATAAGTTGTCTGCAGCCTCGATCAATATCACTTACGGCGGAAAATTTGTCACTTAACGTCAATTTACATTCCACCTGCAAACCGTTGAAGGCACTTGCACTGCGAAAAACAGTAACTAACTCGGAAACTACATTTTTTAGACAGAGTTCTTGTGTTTAAATTTGAAATATCTAATTTATTATTGTAAATATATAAAATATACAAAAACATTTTTTTAACCATATTTGATAAAAACAAAGAAATGCTTTACTAAGTGTATCTAAAATGGATCTATCCTGTCGTACTTGGCAAGTTTAAGAATCATAATTATCAATAAATTGCATGACAACATAACCTATCTAATATGTTAATGTAATGTTCTGTTAGATTTAACGATTTTTTTTGCCAGCATTTTTGATAAACTAACGTAAACTGTTAGCATAACAGAATTTAACACGTAATGGTATATTCAAGTTCCATGATATTTCTTTAAGAAATATATGAAAGATAAAATTTAATTCAGTACCCAGTTTATATATTATAAACATCCTTGACCTACAATGTGCATAAAAAAAGACACTACAAACATCTCAAGTCAGATACTTAGAACTATAACTGAACAGATGACTGACGTGAAATCCCCACACAATTTTTAAAAAGCAACTGTTGAACACGACTTAGATACTTAACACAACTTTAGAACCGAAAACGTACTGAGACAATTTTGAACATATTGAGCATAACTGTGAAGTTCCGCAAAGTCCTCTTTTATCCAGTAAATCCTATCCTTCGAATTAAAAACCCTCACTCGAATTGTCAAAACTCCTTACTATTTCAGGCTCGGGCTTTTCTTCTCACAGGTGCAAGAACCTCAGCCCACATAACCCTTCGCACCAACAGAGGTATGGTATGGTGATAAGGATACTAGGAAGCGGGGTTTGTACCCCCCAGGCAGTGCAGCCTTCTGGCTTATTGCACCTCCCTAGTTCCTTAGTTCAGTGCAATAGACTATCATTCTCCTTCGACGTATCAGGTCATTGACTGTCGCTGCTACAATTTCATTCCTAAGTTTTTTCTTATGTTAGGTTGAATCTCCATTGAGCTGTTGCTTCGCATTCGAAGATGATATGAGAGGCTGTTTTCTCTTCCTCATTACATAATCTGCAGATGGGATCATAGTTGTACATGCCCATGTTGTGTAGATGTTTTCGCAGATGCCAGTGACATGTTAGTAGTCCTACCACTCCTCTGAGTTTAGCCCTCTCCAGTTGCAGCATTTATTTTGCCAGTCTTGGTGAAGGTTGTTTCATCATGAGTTTACTATGTCTAGCACTGCTAGAGTTTATCCACTTCTCCTTTTGTTTTGCTTGGATCCATTCTGCGATGGAGGCTTCTATATTTGTTCTTGTTTTCCCAAGTATACGTTCGGGTCCTATATACGGTCTTGCTGATTTCCTCTGTCTGCTTCCTCGTTACCCAAAATTCTCCTGTGCTCTGGCACCCAAGATATCATAAGCTGTTGTTTCCTCAGGTTTTGGAGATTTGGATGCATTCACTAACTAATTTTGATGTAATTCTTTTCCATGCTAATGCTTTAATGGCTGCTTGATTATCAGATCTTATGAGGATTTTTTTGCCACTGTAACCTCCTTTACAATTTTATCAGGGCATAATCATTGATGGCATATATTTCTGCTTGGAAGACCAAAGTGTACTTTCTTAATGAGTTTGATTGCTCATATTTTGGGCTGATCCGGTTCCTTCGTTTGTTTTAGAGCCATCTGTTTACCATAACATTGTATCTGATGCTCTCCTGAGTTCTTCCTCTCCTTTTAGGTCCGATGAGACTTTTTGGATGTTGTGAAGAATATTTCCGGGATCATATTGTCAATCCCTATTTCTAAGAATGGGCGTCTGATTTTGTTAATTATAGTTGTATGCCCGAATTATTATTTTCCTAGCCTCTCCTTGCATAAATATTTCTAGTAGAGGTAAGTTTAGCAGTTTCTAGTGCACTTGTAGGGGTTGTTTTTATTGCCGTTGCGATACATAGGTTTGATAGTCTTTGTATGCTGCCTAATGCTTTTTGTTGAGTTTTGGTCCAGCAGATTAATGATCCATAGGTTATTTTGGGTCTTAGTATTGTATTAATTGCCACTGAACAGACGATTGTATTAAAATCTGCTGTCGATGGGCACACGTTTTTGGTAGTTTAGTGTGTAGTAAAAAGCCTCAAGGCCATAGACTGTCCCTGGAATGGCCAAGCACCGGAAAGAAAGGACGACCACATAGACATAAAATTGACTTTATTACAGTACTAATTCTCCCTTGAAAACAACTGCTCCCTATAGATCGTTCTTCTTCGGAGCTGAAAGATAAAATTTCCAAGTAGATTATGTTGATGCCTCTGCCCTGGGTCCATTCTCATTGAACAGAGGAGTTTTATTCCATTGTCTGATAGATCAACGGTTCTAATTTGCAGCAAAATTGTTCAGGGCCGATAGGTGTCCTTATCGAAATTTCCATCGACAATTTATAAGCATGCTCATTACACCTACACTCTGGTGCCCTGTTAAACAAACAAAGGTAATTTTGCTTGTGCCCCCAATGGTCGATATATCCATAATGCAATCGCAAACCGCTCAGGATTTCACTGCCTACGAGTTAGTTGTTTGTAATGCCGCTTGGCTGACCGAGTAGATGACTTTTTGGAAATAAAACCAAGCCTGCTCATCTTGGCCCGTTCTCCAATATAGCCACAGTCGTAGATTGAAATACTATGGAATATTGGCCAAGGCTTACAATATGTCAAGTCTTTGGCTTCCATAGACATATCCGTCAGTGACATATCCTAGGCCTGGAAAAACGCCAAAATCACGTTAAGGAATTATAAAAAATATTCCGTCGCAGGATCAACCAAGGCATGCTAACGCGGCTATATTATAATAATGGACGTACATAACGCAAGAAGGAAAGAAAATTTAGTTCTTATTTTCAAAAAAAGAGGCCATTGAAGTTCATGATTCTTTCTCAATTTTCAGTCATTAAATAAGCTCAATTTATTATGTTATTTAACCATATCAACTTTCTTTTCTCAATTAATTAAAGTAAGTGTCACGAGCGGGATTCGAACCCACGAGCATCGGCTAAATACGCCGCTACTCTACCGCTTGGGCTATTCTGGGTTCGAATCTCGCACGTGACACTGACTTTTTTATCTCAATCAAGACCTTACATGGAACGAATTGAAAGATGTAACTTCGTCAATTGACCTCTAAATCGTAAACGAATTCTTCTCTCAGCTTATATGAAGTTTTAATGGTATTGTATAATTATAAGTTTTCTCGTTAAAATCGCACCATAATCCCAACGAGACACTGCATTACAACTTTTCATTCTGACGAAATAGTTGGGAGGATTATATCTAATTATAAAAACTTGTTAACGCTATCCCGTTGAATTGATTTTATCGTTAATTAAATTATTCGACGAAATGTGTTTTCATTTTCCCCTTTCTCATCGAATTTTAATTCCCCCTTGATATTCTATTCATTGAAGCTTGGTCGGATCTAATTAGAGCTTCGAAAGCGTCTTAACCTTTCATGCGAACCGTGACCACATGGCCATTAGAACAGGAAGTGGGCGTATAAAAAATTTACACCTCGAAGAGAAGGTGGGCTTCTTCGATTCTCAAAGGTTCCTTTTCTTTATTTACTCGCAGAAATTTTATAAGTGGATAAAAAAAATTCAAGTACTTACCTGTATACCGTTGATGAGCCATGTGACGTCTGGCGTGGGTCGCGCAGGCCCCGAGGTACAGTTCACCTGTAACCACTCACCAACGGTGTACATTGGCTTTCCAAAAGATATATGAGGATCTTCTAATTGGCCCTCTGAAAAAAAGCAAAGAAAAAACTTAGAAAATACTTGTCACAGTAAAAACCCCTTTCTAAAATTGTCTCTGTAAATCTTGACAATCGAATAAAATCCATTCCGCAGATGAACACGACAATAATAGAGAAATAATAACTGAAAAGAACGCTAGAAATCCGACCAGATCTCGCTAATCGGCTTAATGGGATTTTCCATGTTCTGTTGTAAAGTGTTTTCTTGACACGACCCAACTTTTTTGATTCGATGTCGGCACAGCCGAAAAAGCCACGCTCGCAAATCAATTCGGCCCATAACATTAGCATTATCAGAGAGGACAAGTCCGTAAATAAAATTTAGGCGATACAGCGTGCTAAATCCACCCGAATGGTGGCATAGCAAAAACACAACGACGTGAACGCATAAATCACTTCCTATATGCGGTTTTGTAAACTACGCCTCTATACAAAACAAACCATATGTATTTTCACAAAACAAGTGAAAATTCGTAGTTGTTTATCGGTAAATAAAGAAAACAAAACATTCAACACAAACAGGACAGAATTGCACAATTAAAAAACTTTCACATAGGACATATAAAACTCACTTATATTTAAGTTTTTCTATGATTGAAATGAATTACCTATATTTAACCTGATAAAAGTTCAGGTTAAATCATCACAATTAAGAATATTTTTGTGTAGTTTCGTTTAAGCTCAGGCTTGTGAAATCATTTCTACCTACCTATTGTATCTCCCTACTTATCTATATTTCCCCTTATCTTCGTACTAAACTATTTATCCATCTACCTACCAACAGATTTATTGGGTCATAATCTTCATTTTCCTCCTCTTTTTTCGGTAGATGGGTGTATTCCATTCTCGTATGTAGTTATACATTTTTAGTAGTCTGTTGTAATAAATAAAACGTTTAAAGCTGTCTCTATCTATCGATATATTCTGTATCTTACCATTTTTATTAGGATTTTATAAATAAAAACTCTACTTATATATTTAATTAATGATTATTCGGAGATCGTGAGATGAGGTGTGGTGTGACGGAGGTTTTAGAAAAACATTTTCTTTCCCCACGTTTCGATTTTATAGAGATCATCTTCTTGCCGATGAGAGTGCCCAACTGACTCAACATGACACACAAGAACGGCACAATTACGCAGAAACAAAACACAGCCCTGAAGAAGATCTCAAAAAAGATCGAAACGTTGGCACGATAAAGAAAATGTTTTTCTAAAACCTACGTCACACCAGACCGCATCTCACGATCTCCGAATAATCATTGTCTAATGGTCATTAATCAACACACATTTTAATTAATAGTGTTCCATCTATCTATCTATCTCTTCCAGTTGTACCATTGACTCTATTTTTCTTCTCACTTCTTGCTAACCCTTAATTGTAACACAATCGATCAAACGCAAAATTTTTCTAAGGCCATCTTTTTATACGTTTTATATCTACTTAGTTCCGTCCTTTTCTATGTACTTTCCTAACTGCATACCAATTTGCTATCTACTTTATTATTACCTTATTTTATTAATCAGTTACATTTCCCTCTCTGCCTCTGTCTGACTGACTGTCTGTCTGTCTGTCTCTCTCTCTCTCTCTCTCTCTCTCTCTCTCTCTCTCTCTCTCTCTCTCTCTCTCTTTACAGTCTCCATGTAAAACCCATTATCTATCGTTCTAACATTTTGTCACTTTTTCTCTCACACTTCTATTGATTTTTAGTTTGTCTTTATTTCACCTCCTGCTTGCCTCTCTAAGATCTTTTTCCACCCTAGTTTATATATCTCTTACACTCACATCTATTTATCTCTTTCTTCTTTTTCTCTCTCTCCAACATTTCTCTCTCTTTCATTCCGTCTGTCTGTCCCTCCCTACCTGAATGAAAACATTCCGAATAAGACTACCAAGAATACTTACATTTAACATTTTTCAACAATCTATTAGGTTTCGTGGTCATTGACCAAATAAATTCTTTTCAATTAATTAATCTTTAAATAAGGTTTTGGTGGTCGAATCCCGCTCGTGACACTGACCTTTTTATCTCAACCAAAACCTTAAAAGATTAATTACTTGAAAATAATTTTTCAATAAGTTGTTAAAAACGTCCCAACCCATACATCTGCACGAGAAAAATTTAAAAAAAATTTAAGGAGCCGGTTAGTGTATTAGTAAAGATAAAGGAACTATTGTTATTCCAAAATATAAACCAAGAAAAGATAAAAACACTTTTCTTACAAAAACTTTCTAAAAAATTGAAACAAGAAATAAATCGCAAAAAAATTGTAAAAAATCAATACAATCAAAGTAAACGCCAAAAATAATTACTTCAAAAGTTATGGATAAGTGAAATACATGTACTGATTTAACTTACTTCTTCATCACTTTTTTTGCAGCATTCTCATCATTTGATTCTATTGGTCATTATTTCTTTCTCAAATATTTTTTGATATTTTACTTTTTTTATTAGTTTTTGGTACACATTCCGATCGTAAACAATAACGACAGTTATTACAGTGTAATTTAATTTAAGTGAATGGATAATCTTTATGTAAGATGTTGATTGAAATGAAAAAGTTAGTGTCACGAGCGGGATTCGAACCCACGACCTTCGGCTAAATACGACGCTGCTCTACCACTTGAGAGATCGTGACTTTGATCCACTCGGACACTAACTTCCCATATCAACCACAAATTTCCCTCCTTGAATTTTCCCTCCTTTTTGCCATTTGTCAAATGTCGTGCAACCAGGATTGAATTAGTTAATTGACAAAAGTTAGTTGGTCAATTGGACCACGAAATATAATGGATTTAACGGATAATTTTTAATGTTTTTTATATATTAAAAAAATTATTTATAAAAAGCAGATTATTCAATGTTTTTATATGATCACTTTTATAATTAAATTATAAACCTCATTGAACGTAGGAGAGGTTCAAGAGACCTTCAGCGTGTATAAATAAAACGCTATCAATCAATCAATCTCTTTTCCCTCTTAATTGTCAGGGAGGTCGACCTAAAGTTGATAGATTTTTTTAAATAAAACGATATTCAATCATTCCCTCTCCCACTATCCTCTCTCTCTCTCTCTCTCTCTCTCTCTCTCTCTCTCTCTCTCACTCTCTCTCTCTCTGTTTCTCGCTCTCAGTTTTTCTGAGTATAGATGTGTCACCCTCATTCTGATACTCTATGTTTCTTGATTTCGCAAACACTCTCACTCTTTGTCATGTACGTTAAATAGTAACTCGTCCTATCTAACGGATAGATAATTTTGTCTAACGTATGTGCCGTCCCGTGGTATAAGTTTAATCCATAATTTATTATCTTATGGCAAGTTTCCCAGTTGCCAGTTTTCACCCAATTCCTCTCTCCGGCTCCCTCCCACCTTTTCATTTTCTCTCTCTCTCTCTCTCTCTCTCTCTCTCTCTCTCTCTCTCTCTCTCTCTCTCAACCCCACTTCCTCATCCTTCTCACGCTTTCTTCTAATTTCTCTCATTTCTGTTAGAATGATTAGTTGGTCGATAGTAAATTTGAAAATAATTTATTATCGGAAATAAATAATAAAATTTGCTGCAGTAGTGGTCAACAATGGTTCAATTAGTCCGTTGAACTATTTTAAAATATTAAAAATTTAATTGGTTCATAACGTATTATATATACAGGGTGAGTCATTTTTTGACGCACCATTGGAAAATCAACGCGGGTGCGTTTAAATCTGACTCGAGGCTTATTTCCTTTGATTAATACGTTAATAAAAGAAAGTGAGTCAATTTTCGGTGCACCATTGGAAAATCAACGTGGGTGCGTTTAAATCTGACTCAAGGTCAATTTCTTTTGATTTTAACATTAAAAAAAGGAAGTGAGTCAATTTTCGGTGCACCATAAAAAAATCAACGTTGGTGCGTTTAAATCTGACTCAAGGTCAATTTCTTTTGATTTTAACATTAAAAAAGGAAGTGAGTCAATTTTCGGTGCACCATTGGAAAATCAACGTGGGTGCGTTTAAATCTAACTCAAGGTCAATTTCTTTTGATTTTAACATTAAAAAAAGGAAGAAAGTCAATTTTCGATGAACCACAGGAAAATCAACGTTGGTGCGTCTAATTATGACTCGGCACAGTTTATTTTGTTAGTCTCGTACCAAAAAATAGGCGAGTCACTTTTCGACGCACGGCACATTTTATTTTGTTAGTCTCGTACCAAAAAATAGGCGAGTCACTTTTCGACGCACCATTCGTTACAAATTAATTTTAGTAGGTTGGAAGGGAAATAAACAAAACCAATATTATTAAAACATTATTCAAACACAATGTAAAAATTAAAAAATAATTCTTCACAAATTAATTTGATTAAGGTTTAAGAGTATTTTTTCTGGTAAAGTAAAAAAAAATTAAATGAATATAACAATCTCCTTTTTTCTGGTAAAGTAAAAAAAAAGCAAATCAAAAATGTTCAAAATCATTATAATAATTGTTCGAACAGACCTCGATTTGCTGCAACACAGTAGCCTAGTCTATCGTAAAACGATGATCGGACGTAAAAAATACTATTAAACCTTAATCAGATTAATTTGTGAAGAATTTGTTTTAAATTTTGACATTGTGTTTGAATAATGTTTTAATAATATTGTTTTTTTTTATTTGCCTTCCAACCAAAACTATTTTGTAACGAATCGTGCGTCGAAAAGTGACTCACCTATTTTTTGGTACGAGACTAATAAAATACAATGTTCCCAGTCATAATTAGAAGCACCCACGTTGATTTTCCTATGGTGCACCGAAAATTGACTCACTTTCTTTTATTAACGTATTAATCAAAGGAAATAAGCGTCGAGTCAGATTTAAACGCACCCGCGTTGATTTTCCAATGGTGCGTATATATATATATATATATAAAGTTATGTGAAATTATCTGTTTACAACGCTTAGATGCAGGTGTCATTCCTAGTATTGTGGTCAGCAACTTCTCCCTCCCAAGAGACCTACTTATTTAATTCTGTATT